TATAAGTTTAAAATTGTTTATTTTGTCATTTCTTCACTCCATTATGATGTTTTGCCAATTTGTGCCTATAAATAGAGGCCTAAAAATCAGAGTTCTCACACCAAAGTTAAGTACCAAAAGTTATATAATAGTGTAAGAGAGAATGAGTAATAGAAACTTTGGAGAAGTGAAGAATTAAGTTACGATTCTAGCAAGAATGAGGTAATTTACTTATCTTAAAGTTACATGCTTAAGTTCATGTTTTGATAATGAGTTTACATGTTTAGTAGATGATATTAAGTGTTTAATAATGTTTTTATATGACATAGATATTAAAGTTTTATATGAATATAAGCATGCTAGAAAATAAGTTATTTCCAGCTCATATATATGTCATATGTGTTCAGTTATGATGAGATTTTTACATAGCTATGAAAAATCTGGAAAATCTATGCTTTTTATGGTTATTTCTTGTGTAAAAGAGGAGTACATAGGATCAAGAATCAAGTCATTTAGTTTAGTATAACTCAAGATATGAATTTTTAAAGTTTATCATGCAAGCTGAATTTTATGTACTTGTTTCTAGCAGCAACTTTAAACTTGAATAAGTCGAGATATATGCATGATAAAATTTTGAAATTTTTATGACATGTCTAAATCTGAGTTAAGAATATGACTGTTAAGTTTTATAATTTAAAGATGAGAAATGAATAAGTTATGAATATAAGAAAGCATATATGTAAAGATAAGTATATATATGCAAGAATATTCATGAAATGTTTAAGTTGTTAAATGAGATGATCATGAGTAATTCTCATATGAGTGATGAGTAATTTGATGAAGTTTTTTTATAATATGTTGAGTATACAATTTTATAAAGATTGTATTAAGTATGACATATTAACATCATGATTAAATGTTATGAGTAAAAGATGATTATGGCTTGAGATTATTTTCACTTTCAAGTTAATCAAGTGAAAATTTAGTATAAGCCAATATCTAAAGATTGGAAAATATGATGTATGATGAATTAAGTATTTGATCAAATTAAATTAAGATAAGTTATAAATCATGTTGATGATGTTGGTAAAAGTAAGCATGTTTTAAGTTTAAATACTCAATCAAGTATAATGTGAAATATAGTTATTTTCACATTTGAGTTATGACATGCTAAGTATAATACCATATTGATGTTTATGAAGACATGATTTATAAGGTTAAGTAATTGACCTTAAGTAAAAGTAAAAAGAGAAGTTAAGTATAAACTTGAGAAAAAGCAAGTTCAATGAATTTCTATAAGATTTAGATAAGTTAATAATCCTAAAATTCTTATTGAGTATACGAGCATAGTACTTACTATATTTGTTTATATTTGATGTAACTTGCAGATACAGTACCAGTACAGCACTTATCGTTTTTTTCAAATGATTTCAAAGACAAAAAGGTGGGGACCCTGAATGGGTATCACGTTGAGTACGATATTGATGTCATATGGGATGAGGAGACCATCAGTTGTCTCAGAGTATATCCTACAGTTTAAGTTTTACGCTTAGGATGAGGAGGCATTACTTTGTTCTCAGAGATTATATCCTAAGTTCTGATGGAGGCCATTAGGTGCCTTAGAAATATCCATCAGAGTGTGCACACGTATCCGATCAGATATCGGCCAGTTTAAGTTTCAGTACCAGAACAGATTTCTGGTTACCGATCAGATATCGGTTTATGATTATCCATATTCATTACTCACCCCCATGAGTTTTAGTTTCAGGTAACAGGTCGAAGAGGAGGTGTGGGTGGAGCAGTGTTGGTGTGGATCGTGGACTCAGATGAAGACAAGCTTTGATACGGACATTTATAACAGTCTGTATAATTAACCACGTTTTCAAGTATTTCCGCTATGCACATTAAGTATTGAACTTGCATTTTAATGAATTTCAGATTTCAAGTTTTTACCATTATGAGAAATATGATTATGGTATTTTAAATGCAAGTTTAAAGGAAATCTGTTTTATTTATGTCTAAAGAAGTATTAGACAAAAGTTTAAAGATAGACAGATTTTCAAGATGATGAGTTTGAGTAGCATCCCGAGTTAGTCGCAAAAGATTTCGAAAGAGTTAAGTATTTTCGAAGTAAAAGTTGTGAAAAATTTACTCTGATAAGCGGAGTGTTACAGTTACACATTTGAATATTTTGCTATCAAATTTATAATTAATTTAGTAACATATTTAGCAAATAATAAATAATAAATAAATAAATATATATATAAATATATATATATATATTAAGATGTAACGGTTTTAGCAGATTAGTGAGTAATTAATTAAAAAAATGTAACTCCTTTTGAAGGGAAGTAAAAATAAGTTTTATTAAATGTTTTATTAAATGCATCAGCTAGTAATTATATATAGAGATCAATATGTAATACAATGTTATGTACCTATATATATATTTTTTTTAAATGTTATAAAAAATTTAAATTGTGTAAAATTACATAAAAATGTGTATTTAAAATTAGTACACATCCCGTCCGTTGTACAATTATAAAAAATTTAAATAGAATAATAATTCAACTTGCACAATTTTCATACCAAAAAAACAAAACGAACGATATCAAAAAATCTTTACCAATAAAACTCTAGTTTTTTCATATCAAAAATATTCATTTCATACCAATAATTGAATTATTAATTCCCTAGTAAGCAACTTTTTTATTTTTTATTTTTTCGTGAAACAGTTACTAATTTTAAAATAATCAAACATGTTTACATAAGATATGGAATCAATATATAATACAATTTACCTATATTAATTTGTTTAAAATTTTATATGAACTTTAAACTGTACCTAAATGAACTTTAATACAATTTACCTATATTAACTTTATATTGTGCAAAATGTCTATTTAAAATTAGTACACGACCCGTACGGTGCAAATAACTTATATTAGTTACATTATATTATTTCAAAATAAGTTACATTATATTATTTCAAAATAGGTATGATCTTCATTTTGTTTATTCAAAAAATCGATTTGACTACAATGTGATTTAAGTAAAAATTAATTCCCTTTGTACACACACACACCAGATTTTTTCATTAATATCGAGTAAAATGCTTATAAATATGAAAAAAAAAATATGGAGATACAATTTATTACCATAAGCGGATATATTGCATCAATATATAATATACCACATAATTCGATTTCATACTTTATTGATAAAATACAAAAAATTATATTAAGTTTAACCACAAAATTAATTGCACAACGTACAACACATTTATTATAGAAAAACAAATTCCAAAAAAATAGTTATTAAAATTCAATTAAATAGAAAGTACCAATGACACAATTATTTTAGAATAGTTTTATAAGAAATTATAATTAAATAAACCAACCGAATTTACACGATATGCATAATTAGGGTATCTTAAAAATGTAAATTTTTACGGCCAAATTATTTCCTTAATTATCCACAATTTGAGCAATTAAATACACAACAAACGAATAACATTTATTAAATAATATTTAAGTAAAAATTTTCATTAACACAAATTTTGACGAATAATTTTTTATAAACTGCATAATTAATTATTGTTGTAGATATTTCTTAAATTGTACTAATTATTTACAGATTGAATAAATTAGTCGATTTTACACAATGTGCGTAATTAATGTATATTAAAAATGTATTTTACAAAATAATTACACGAAAAATAAAAAACACTTATCAGAGAATAAATTATACAATTTAGTGGTAATTTTTTTACCAAATCACATAATTGATATTGCAGCCGAAATTTTCATATTTGGGTAAATCAACCAATTCACATCATTAGAGTAATTAAGGTATCTTAAAAATGTATTTTTATATCTTATTTATTTTCTTAAATAATGACCCGCAATTTTCATATATAGAATTATACAACTATTTATTTCTTAAATTTGTACCAAATTTGCAAGGCTTTCAAATTAATTTCTATTTATAATTGTTTTTATTAATAATTGACACATTTTTTGTATAAGAATCTCCAAATTGTTACAAAAAAAGATATGATTTAAATGTTGGTAAAAAAATAAAATATGATACGAAAAAAATGGAATTCAAATTTTGCCATAATGAATCTCCAAATTTGTTGCAAAAAAATAGGATTCAGATTTTGTTACTATAGATTCATATCTGTTTTTTCGAACTTTCCATTAATAGTAAGTCAAGCATTATATTTATTTGGTCAAACTTTCTATTAATGTATTTTTCCAATAACCTCTTTATATAGATATAGATATAGATATAGATATAGATATAGATTGGATGAGTAAAATAATTGACGAGTTGTTCAAGTTTGTAAAATTGAAAGGTGTTTCTCGGTTAATTACAAAATAATTTATGACCGACTTATCTTCCAAATTGCAATGATGGCTTTGCACCGTGTATTAAATGTATGGAGTGGAGGAGTTGGTTTTGTACAGAGATTTATTAGGGTTTGGATATTTTAATGGTATAGGTGTATGTGTAAAAAAGGTGAATTTTACAAAAAAAAGTGGTATGAAAATCTTTGGACTAATTGCTTTTAAGAAAGTATGATGGATCATGATATTAATTGTCAAAAATTTTGGTTATTTTCGAGATGCAATCATTTTGGTTATTTTCGAGATGTAATCATTATTTCTCAGTCATCGTTTAAAAAAAAATCGTCAACTTGTGAACATTATTATTCGAACAAATTTAATCAAACATATTTGCTATTTTTTTTATGTAATAAACTTAATTTGAAGAGTCCATATATGAATGGGGATTGTTTCCCAAATTTTTGTTATAATTTCCTCCATTTACGAAAAATGTTAAATTCACCAAAAAATAAACAATCATCAAGTTGTGAAAGGCCAGAATAAGAACTAAGATTAGCATTTATTACTCATGAGGGTGGTTACATTTTAATCAAGTTTACCCAATTACAAACCATCTCAAAAAAAAGCCGTAATTAAGTAACGTAAGCCCTAACATGAAATTGATAATAACCGTCTGCCAAAATGAACAACGCACATTTCGATGAGAAAAGAAAAAAACCACATAGACTACATAACCAGAAGAACCCCACAACATGATCCACCTCCTACCAAGTCATTTCAAACACCAGATGAAGATTCAGCATCACTCGGAACATCAAAAGTCGCCTGAATAGCATCGTTGAAACAAATTTTAGCCGCTTCTCTCATTTCAAATACCAGCATGCATTCGTCGTGCCACTTGAAGCCAGTTGTTCGGAGAAATCGTTCGATAGGATTTTCCTTTATTTATGTTAGCAAACATTAAAACAGTGATTCATATAATCAATATATTTGAATGATTAGATTAACTGTTCATAAATAGGTAATGTAAAATATATGAATAATTCACCTCGGGCCACACGTATAACCAATAGAATTTGTTCACCCTAACCTCGCCACATTCCGAATGGACTTTTGAGCGCGTTCTCTGCAGAAACTTCGTGAAAAGGTTGTAGTGGTTCCTTAGCCGCTGTATTTGTTCTCTAACAGCCCGATTTTCAACAGATCTTCCCAATAATTGTGACAGATCTCGCGCCAGTGGAGTCCATATTGAGTTGAACACCGAGGGCTTATGAATTTCGTTCAATGCGAGAGCCTTTTCAAAGAAGAGTTTGTAACACACCAACACGTCCTGCTCGTTCCATCTTGGTCCGAAAATACTGCCGCCATTTGTTGTACATCATCGTTGTTCGTCATGGCTGTATTAAAGCTACAAAATAATTGAATCAAAATTATTTGACAATTTTTTTAAAAAAAAATGAGAAGATAAAAAAATAAACGGCTATGCAGTACCTCTTTTCAAATAGGGTTTCCCAACTTCAAAATCGATTTGAGATTTAGTCCCTTTTAAATGCTTGTGTCAAAATAAATTAAAAAAAAAGTTCCCTTTAATAAAACCAAGTTGAACATGCAACCACCATCCTGATAATAATTAAATTTGGACAGCTGTGATACAAAATGACAGACGTGATTTTTTTTTTCCCAAAGGACAGACGTGATAAAGTGTGTAATTTCACAACTTTTTGTTAATTAAATTTTTTGGTCATAGTGAATGTAATTACATATATACAGATATATATATATATATATATATATATATATATATATAGATTGATTTTTGATACCTAATCGATATCAAAAACATACTCATCTTATAAAAGAACATCTATATTATATAATTTTACATGTTCATTTTACAAAGAAACATATTCATCGTGTTAAGAAACATATTACCTACAAAATCTACTTATTCACCTTGTACAAACTCAACATATTCATCGTGTAAATAAACATGTTCATCTGAGAAAGAAACATGTTCATCTTATAATTTAACATATTTAGCTTATAATACAACATATTCATCTTATAACATAACATGTGCATCTTATAAGTTGACATGTTCATTTTACAAAGAAACATATTCATCATGTTAAGAAACATGTTACGTACAAGCATGTTACACGCGAACCTAAATTCTATACAGAGAGCGAGGCGAGAAGAGATTGAGACCGAGAAGAGTTCGGAAAATTAAAAAAAAAAATCCCCGTCGAAATAATATGATCAAATAAAATTGTATATAGTTTTCAACTTTAGTTGTGAAGGCAACCTTTCATAATATTATATTTATATTGCAATTAGTTTGTACATACAACATTAACAATAGTCATATTTATTCTTAATTATTCTAATCAGTGCAAACATAAAACAGAATCACAAATTCTAAATTGATAAATTCAGAAAACATAAAACAAATTAACTGCAAACACGACCATTACATAGAACAATAAAAATAAAAATAAAAAACATAAACTAAGTCATAAAATCCTTTCTACCTGCATAAGGAGGTAGATCATCTTTAGCAGGAGCGGGTTTTATGTTTCCTTTGTCATAAAAAATAAGAACATTGAAGATATGCAAACCAACATGATCGAACAAAATGGTGTCTCCCTCGTTTACTCCATTACCAAGAAGGAATCTACCCCAACCCTCTTGCACTAGTGGAAAAAACGCTTTTTATATCGGGTGAAATTGACTTTTTATATCGGTTTCAACTCCGATATAGTTTCAGACCATATAATAAGTGTCAACTTTTTATATCGGGTAATAACACATATAGAAAGTAAACTTTTTATATCAGTTGCATGAATCACCCCATATAGAAAATACATCTGGAAAGCCGAATTTTAGAATACCCGATATAGAAAATATGTTTTTTATATCAGGTGACTGAATCAACACATATAAAAACATATCTTTTTATATGGGTTAACTTCGAAACTGATATAGAAAATACATTCTATATGTATCTTTTAACCGATATAAAAGATGTAAGATTCTATATGGGGTATTTTTGACTGATATAAATTTTTTTATATCAAACTTTATTACCTGATGTAAAAAGTAGATAAATAATTTTTTTTTTCACCTGTTTAATTGAAACCAAATGTACCATCAATACAACTAAATAGATAAAAATAAAATAAATTTACTAAAGTTAATTCATTATCATTATCAATAATACCAACGGAGTTTAACATTTCTCAAAAACCAAACAATACTAGCAAACTCAAATAGTTCAACATAAACCAAATATTCCAAACAAAAGCCTATATAGTCTACTACTTTGCCAATGAGGTGATATAGAGAAAATACTCGGTCCACCGTCTCTGTATATCAACAATTTCTTCTTCCAAGTATTGTTCTTCCAAATCAAACACCTATTGAAAAACCATAAATAATAATAAATCAAGCCTAAAAGAACATAATTAATACTTACTATATATAAGATAATATAATCTCGATATCTAATGAGTTATTATTATTATCCAAATACCTTTTCAAATCCGTCAACAACGTCGAGTGTTATGATTTCCAGCATATATCTCATAACATAATACCCGCATGCTTCACCTCCTATTTGTCGGTGACACTTAAATAAAATAAAAATAAAAGAATAGTTTCATAATTACCAAATGAAACCAAGAGATAATGCACAAGCACTATCATACACAAACATAGAGGAGTTATATTGACTTTATTTGAGAAATTCATGTACCTTTGGATAAACCCATGTCGGCTTCTTCAGTTTCTGAGTATGGAGTCCCTGTATGACTTTGCATGCTCTAAGTGCCCTGACACGATTATTTTAAAATTAAGTGAAAAGAAAATATCAAATGTAAATTATGTGAAAAGAAAATGTTGAATACTAATTTCAAACGTACGTGTTGATTTTCTCCATGAACTCCATCTTAGGCTTCATCGATAAGGAACAGAACCAAGCCACTGTACTCTTTTTCGGGTTAATAACAATTAGTTGCCAATGATCCCTGACATTCCACAAAAATAAGATATGCAATTTTATTATTTCTTTCTTATACGCAATCATGTATGTTAAATATTATGAAAAAACTATTTCTTACCCGCTAATATACGGTGCAAGAAAACATTCCACGTTTCCTTTTGTAAGTCTCTCTTGAATGTATGTCGTTGCTTGTCCCTTACTGTTCCCAATGTTTTGGATTAAGAGAGGACACATCAATCCAAACTTACCTTCTCTCCCAGAGTCCTTCAATATTTTGTACAAGTACCTATGAAATCAAAAAGAATATTTAGTGGCATATAATTCTCACAACAATCAATATAAAATGATAAAATTAGTTAAACACTCACATGTTAAAAACTTGCACTATAGATACACAAAGTTTTTGATTTAGTAAAAGCTCCATGATATCCTTCCGATATACATATAAATCCATTTACGTCCCGACAATTGCTTCCTCCAATGGTATATGAACCGGTTGTGTAATGTCAGCCGCCGCTATCCACATGGCTTTAATCACATCAGGTTGAGTTATGGGTTTTGGATCCATTTGGGTATGCTATGCAAAAGAAACAAAGACAAGAGTATTAATATTGTAAACAAAATGAAGCATATTTTTAGCAAATATATCTATAAAATGATTTACCTTCATAATTTGCACCACTAGCTTTTTAGGCCAAACAATGAATTGATTTGGTGCTTCTTCCACAATAGTGACCTCATCTGTCGGATAAGGCACTCGTGCATCTCTAACTATAACCCGTGACACCTCAATCCTTACTTGATCGTCATTCAATTTCTGATGGTGCACGGTTGGCCCCAAGTTATGGAGACGACCGTATGCCACTAAACGCCTCTGTGGATCCTCCACGTACAACTCATATTCCTCATCATCTTTGTGCACATTCTGAGCATCGTTGTGCACATCCGCAGTTGGAGCGCAACTCCCTTTCGTGCTCGTGACTAATGGAGAGATAGGTGAACTAGCTGTCTGATGACCAGCCATCATCATCATCATCTCTGCTCTCATCTCTGCTCTCATCTTCTCTTGTACCTGTTCTGTAACTTGAGATACGATGACACTCATTTGCTCTTCTGATACCACTCCTGTACTTGTACATGAACGGTGTGCACGTCCAAAAAAGTCCCGAATGCCCACACCCCTTCCGACTCCCCTTACACGGCCAGGATGCTCAGGCCTACCTATTGCTACTGCTAGAATGTCATTTCTTCCACAAGGTTTGAAGCTTCCCTGAGTAGTTTGTTCTTCTAAAGCATCCTACGATGCACACAAACCATATTTAAAATTCATTCTAGGGGAAAATGAATAGAATAAGTTAAATATCACTAGTTACTTACAATCTTGTCACCAACAATTTTAGCCTCCTCGGAGGTATAATTTCCATTCTTCAACCGCGCCCTTTTCCATAATTCATGCCGAGAGGGTGGAGATGGGGGGGGCACAACGATAGAGGGATCTAATGAGGCCTCCTTCATGGACCTGCGTTTCTCCGCCATCATCTTTCTTTTTAATCCCCTGTAACCCGCTTGAGACAATAGATGAGGAGTCTTGTTTTTTTTTTTGTGTTTCTAGTCCTTTTTTTCTTTTTGCCTGCATAAATGTATGATTGTAATAATATTAAATTTAACTATCATATAAAAAACTAACAGACCATATTAGCTAAATTACTAATTAAGAAATTAACTTACCAAAAATTCAGGAGTCATACGTGAAGCAACATAAGCGTCCCATGTATCTTTATCAAGAAAGTCGTAAACCCTAACATATGGGGGCTCATCATCCTTTTTACATCCGAATATGTATCGATTGAGGCTGGTTTTGAAACATCTCCAACGTTCCCCAGCATAACTTAACCATTTATCTTTCAATCTTTTATCATCGAGAAATTCAAATTTCTCCTACAAACACGTAATAATTAATATGAATTTATACATTCAAGATATACATTTAGGATATACATATAACAAATAACTTATATATTATAACATAAAAATGCATGGAATGACTGTTTTGATAATTTAATTCAAACTAAATCAGAATTGAATCAATATTTAATCAATTAAGGTTTAAGGTTATTACTGGTCACTAAAAAATTTCGCTACCCTGCAGATATACAATTTAAAATACAAATGTTAGACGAATCATACCAAGATATTTGTCAAAATATGTGAAAGTTAATTTCATACCAGTACAGCTTGCCAAAGTTGCTCTTTATTCTTGTCAGACACTCCATTGTTCCAACAACTAGCTAAAATGCTAACTTTGGTCCGAGCTAAAACGCCGAGATACTTTTTGAACTCATTGATACTCACTTCATCTGGCCCATCTGGCTCTAAGTGACAATCAAAAGTCACTTTCACCTTTTCCCCATTTTGTAGGCTAAGGTGCTTAAGGCGTGTTCCTTTGCGACCTTTCTTTTTACGAGCATCATTATCAGAATGTCTCGAATCTGTCGTAGAGTTGGGCTCAGAATCATCACCATTTAAATTGTCCATCCTGCTGGTAAACAATTTGATATTTATTAGAGATAAATTATTTCAAAGGAAAATGAACCCAAAATTTTAAGCACACCTCATTATACAATGTATAAAGCACCTCATATCAAGGGTCCTAACCTCAGCAAAACTCAGAAAAACGCAGCAAATGAACAACTCGATTTTTACCATAAAAAGGAGCTCGACGAGATAAATTAAAACCTGATTTTTGAAATACGACTAAAGGCCCTTTTGAAACACTAAAATACCAGGTTTTTAGGCTCCATATAAGAGGTTATAACCTCATAAAAACTCAGCAAAACCCTGTGCAATCACTGCACTTTAAACTTAAATTTTCGAAGCCAAAAGACACTTATTAGACTGAAGTTCAATTCAGGTCCGGCTCTGCAGAGATGTTGTACGGGTACTGCCACGTTTCCAAAAAGAACAAGCTCTGCACTTTTGATTTGGTATATATGCGCAGCCTGGAAAATAGATTAATTGGCTTACCTTTCTCCTTATATTTACTTCTCTCTTCTTTGAGGAATTAAAACTCCTCCACCTGCAAACAATTTGATATTTATTAGAGATAAAAACTGAATAAACCCATAATATTAATTGGCATATTAATTAATTTCAACACAAAATAAACAGCAAGGCCAAGAAAAAACATACAATATATTTGGGAAAGAAACTGAATTGATATAACTTAGAGCATTATTTCTACATGAAAAAAAATTGAAAAATGTAACCTAATCTGAATGCATAGTACAATATCTCTACTCAGTTAAACGTGTACAACGTAATTAACACAATTGCTAATTATTTTACTACAAATAATATAAATTAAAACATGTATGCAATTTGACATTGAAATAAACAAATTAAGCATTTCACTTTTTAAATTGTAATTTCAAGAGTGGGATTGAATTTTTACGGGTGTGTTCTCCCATATGCCTTCATGATGATCATTTCTGGCAGCATACACATCATCAAGTTCAAGTTCTTCATTTACAACAGGCATCTTTGATGATGTGGAAGGAAATTCAGAAATATCTAAAGTCAAATCATCAATAGAGTCATTCGATACTCGTTTTTTCCCCTGAAGAACAACTGACCAGTTTTTGTCACACGGGTCTATGACAAGTTCCCGTATGCTGGAAAATCATTAATCGTGCAAAAGAGCATCGCTCGCATATTAAACGATTCTTTTTTATACGCATCAAACACATCGACACCTTCATCCCATAACAACTTCAAGTCTTCGATTAACGGCTGCAAGTAAACATCTATGTCATTTCCCGGTTGTTTTGGGCCCGAAATCATCATAGACATCATGATGTACTTGCGTTTCATGCACAATAAGGGAGACAGATTATAGATAACTAGTAGAACTGGCCATGCACTATGCTTGCTGCTAAGGTTGCCATATGGATTCATCCCATCTGTACAAAGGCCGAGCCTGAGGTTTCTTGGCTCATTCCCAAAATGCGGAAAAAGTTGATCGATCTTCTTCCATTGAGGCGAATCAGCTGGGTGTCGAAGCATTCCATCTACTTTCCGTTCATCTGCATGCCATCTCAATTTTTTAGCCTCCGTCTCACTAGCAAACAAACGTTTTAATCTCGGTACTATTGGAAGATACCACAACACTTTCGCCGGTGGTCTCTTGTTACGAACACGAAAACTCGAATTAGCATCAGTTTCCTCTTTGAAACGAGAAACCCCACATACTGGACACTCCTGAAGACTTTTGTTTTCATTTCTGTACAAGATACAATCGTTAGGACACGCATGAATCTTCTTATACCCCAAGCCTAAAGGGCACAATACTTTTTTGGCCTCATAATTAGAATCAGGCAATTCATTATCCTCGGGAAGCATATTTTGAAGCAAGCGTAGCAACTCTGTAAAACTTTTATCGCTCCATCCATTCGTCGCCTTCAAGTTGATTAGTTTTAATACTGCAGTCAAACGTGAGAAGTTTTTACAACCATTGTAGAGTGGCTTATTTGCTTCAGTAGACAAAGACTCGCAAACTCTATTCATATGTGCTTGTTCAAACGCCTCTGCTCCCACATCATTAATCATGTCCTCCACCCGATCATACATATCTGCATCACCAACATCAATTTGTTCGTCTTGGGATACACTAGGCATGACAAATTCACCGTGCCAAATCCACCGCGTATAACTCTGGTTGAAACCATCGCAAAGGACATGTTCCCTAATTTCTTCAATCGACAATTGTCGATCGTTTAGGCAGTTCACACAAGGACAAAAAAATTTTCCATTATTATTGGAAACATGTTGTTTAGCATAGTCCAAAAAGTATTCCACTCCATTCTCATATTCGCTACTTGTACGCACAGCATTGACCCATGTACGATCCATAACTCCCTATAATAATTATGTTAATTTTATAATATAAATGAAGATATTACAATTAAAGAGAAAAATAGAAAGCAGATACATACACATACCATATGACTCACCACTTTATGTACAAGAATTTATATTAGTTAGATAAAAGCATACTCAAAATAAAATATTATAGGGAGAGTAGTCAAAACAAATAGTTCCCTATCTTTTTTAAATCCCTTTTTTCTTCCATAAAAGTTAGCCAACTCAAGAAAAACCAACAGAACATTAGCAACAATTCCTTTTCCTTTTTTTATATACTTTATCTTTTTAGTTTTCTTAGTATTGGTGTCGAGGTTGGTTTAGCTCTATAGCAAGGTCCTTGAATTTGTTTAAAACTAAATGACAGTATAGCTATATCGCAAGGACCTTTGTGGTGTTCACAATAATGCAAATGCAAATTTTGTTTATCAAACAATTATCATAGCATTAATATGTATCAACTGTGGCTTCTGAAAAATGAATAAAGTTAAAATGAAGAAAGTGCAATAACTTTGCAAGCTAATAAAAATTCAGTAAAACAAGCAGCAGGAAAAGTAAAAGCCCACAAATGCCATCTACCCTTCTTATATCTCTCGACTGACGAGATAGCTTAGCACAATCAAAATGGGTTCACATTTTTATTTATATACATTCACTTGGATCATCTCAATTAACAAACTAATTTATATAAACTACGAGCGCAAATTTAATGAACTATTCAACCAATGCTTCTCCTACAGGCAACAATAAACGATTCATTGCCTTAGCTATTCAATCAATGCTTCTCCTACCGTAATTGCACGAACAATAGCTGGACATGGTCCAGAACTCATGAAATAACAAAACCAACTAGACATCACCAGAACTCATGAAACAATAAAATCATTCATATAATATAATAACTTGCAACTAACAACGTGTGTCCATATAGTAACTTCAAAATATTATCAAATTGTAGTAATTTGGTGAAATAACTAGGCACAGAACAAAAACAATTTTGAAAAAGTTAATCTATGCAGAGAATTGAGAAAGTAGGGAAACTCACAACGAATGTCTGGTGTGTCGATGGTGCCGGTGGCGGAGGCAAAATGTGTTCAACGGAGGTGGGGACTAGAAATTCACAACGGACGGAAACAGGGGCTGGAACTTCACGGCGCACGGAATTGGGGGGCTAGAACTTCACGACCGTCGGAAGCGTGGGCTGAAACCGAACGTGTTGACGACGTGCGGAGGCAGGGCTACAAAGACGGGCGGCGGTTGAAAATTCACGTCGACGGACGGAAGTGGTGTCTGGAACTTCACGTCGACGGACGGAAGCGGTGTCTGGAACTTCACGGCAGACTGACAGAATTGAAGGATGGAACCGAATAGTTTCACGGCGAACGGAGGCAGACGTAGGGCTGGAATGACGGAGGCGGGGGTTGGAATTTCACGGCAGGCGGAAGTGAAAGGTTGAAGCCTCGCGCCGACAGAGAAGCGGGAAATGAACAGTCACTACTGGAGAGTCAATTTTGTTTAACCTAAGTGATGAATTACTTTGTGTAAATTATGATTGTAAATATGATTAATTTTTACGAATGTGATTTATTGACTATCTGTATGTGGTTAGTTTTTAAATGGCATAGAAAGTTCAATTTTTATATAGGGTGGTTTTATTGCATATAGATAGTTTATATTTTATATGTGGTGGACAACAACCCTATATTAATTTTGATAAGCCTTGAGTTTGTATATGGGGTTACTAGAACTACATATACATAACAATAATTTTATTACGAAAATGCCACCGTCCTACTTTATACATCAGGTGTGTTGCAACCGATATAAAAAGTGACCCCTAGAATGTGTTTTTTGTACTAGTGTTGGAAGATGGCGCTTCCGGCATTTAGACCGGCGACAACAATCCAAGTGTTCCCCTTGTCATTGTGCAGTCGAAGTTGTACAACCCCCACCATCCTAAGGTATGCAGCCATGGCAGGGGGTAAAATCTGCAATAAAGATATGTCGGTGTAATATTTAATATGTTAACATGCTGCGAAATGGGAAAAAAATAAATTACCATTATTGGGAATTTGTCGAACTCAACACGGATGATGAACGATCTGTCCGTGTCACACCCCGCCTTACTACTAGCTTTTAAAAATCAGAGTAAAATTTTTGTTTTTTTTTTTTTATTTTCGAAAGAACGTGCAAGCTGGGTTTTCGAAAATACTGACTTATTGCGGGATGTGGCAGATAAAAACTTAAACTGAACTCGGGCTTGCCCGCAGACATAATAAAAACATGCAACCAGACTGTCCGCTCGCGGATTATGGAATTATACATGCATAGTCTGTACTGTCTCGCACTGTCTAGAAAAAACTCGCTGGCGGAAGCATCCGAAAATACGAATACATAACATGCGTACATAAACTGTATAAAATACACATGATCATAAATCTAGGACATAAAAATGCTGGTAAAATATGTCCGACTCTCATGACCACGCTGCGCCACATCTGTGCTCACCGGCACGCTCGACTCCGTCTCCTGAAAAACACAATGGGGGCGTGAGCAAACCACTATGCTCCGCAAAGACCAGTACTGAACAAAACATCATCTATAATAACGTATCATGAAACATAAATATATAAGAGCTGAAACTGTAAACTGATCTCTGATGTCTGTTCTGATCTGTGGTCAAAAGACCCTCGGCCGTAGCCGCTCGTGTGCACACGCCGATGGGGTAGAAAGGGCCTCGCCCCTCCCAACGGTCATCAGGTGGGTATAAAGGCCTTGGCCACCCAACCCGGAACTAAACTATCTCAAACATACCTCTGCCATGGTACAGATATTATCTATGATGTGAAATCCAGTACATGACCCCCACCTGAAAAACTTGAAATCTGGTATGCAAGTGCGGAGGCTGTCTGGCTGGTGGCTGGGCACTGGTGTCTCTCAGAATGCACGCCTCGATCTGCTGAGCACGCTCAACAGTCTCAGCGTAGTCAAGGAAACCATGGCTGGTGATCAAGAGTCTGATGTTGCTCCTCAAACCATCGAGGAACTGTGCTGCCTTCTTCTCCTCCGTATCAACAAGATGCGAAGCAAAGGCACTCTTACGAGCGAACTCGCGCTCGTACTCATCCACTGAATGCTCACCCTGCTGGAGAGCGGCAAACTCCCGTGCCATCCTCTGCTTGAAATGGCGAGGATAGAACTTGTCCTCCAGTATCGTCTTAAACTGAGCCCATCTCATAGCGTCACGCTCATCCTCCGTGCGTAGACGCCAGTAATCCTCCCACCAATCTCCGGCGGCTCCCTCTATCTGCAGTTCGGCGCACGCCATCTTGTGCGCCTCNG